CCTTACAGCAGGAAAGTAATGGTGCTCACTTAGTGGAGGGAACTGGGAGCTCATCCCCAGTCAGGATGCCACCTGCTGGTGCTAAAGACCAAATAGAATCCTGTTAAGGCATCCTCTTGGATGGGTGGAGTCTTGTGTTAGAGATTCTAAAGTGATTTCAAAGAACAACTTTATTTCCAAATACAACAAAAACTGAAGGCAGGATCTGGTGTTGAGGGGGGACATCGTCATGGCTTCTAGGAATAGATATGAGTTACACCTGAGAAACACATTTGGGGAGGGAAGAAAATGGTAGCTGCATACCTGGGGCTGGGCAGTGTTTGAACCCTTCTTTATGGCAGTATGTAACAGCCAGCATTGTTTCTTCTGCCACAGAAGTGAATGTCAAGGTCAAAGACGAAGGTGACTGCCAACGTTACACGATCAGGTTCCCCACAGACAATGTTGGGACTATTTTACACGATCAGGTTCCCCACAGACAATGTTGGGACTATGACTGCCAACGTTACACGATCAGGTTTCCCCACAGACAATGTTGGGACTATGACTGCCAACGTTACACGATCAGGTTCCCCACACACAATGTTGGGACTATGACTGCCAACGTTACACGATCAGGTTCCCCACACACAATGTTGGGACTATGACTGCCAACGTTACACGATCAGGTTCCCCACACACAATGTTGGGACTATGACTGCCAACGTTACACGATCAGGTTCCCCACACACAATGTTGGGACTATGACTGCCAACGTTACACGATCAGGTTCCCCACACACAATGTTGGGACTATGACTGCCAACGTTACACGATCAGGTTCCCCACAGACAATGTTGGGACTATGACTGCCAACGTTACACGATCAGGTTCCCCACAGACAATGTTGGGACTATGACTGCCAACGTTACACGATCAGGTTCCCCACACACAATGTTGGGACTATGACTGCCAACGTTACACGATCAGGTTTCCCACAGACAATGTTGGGACTATGACTCACTTGTTTTTCCCAGAGTGGACTGTATAATTTCATATCGTTAGGCAAAGATAACCTATCTCTTGCACCCAAAATGATCTGACCATGGCACTTTCAGAACAGTACACAATTTAGTGCTCTCTGGAAGCCATTCTTGACTCAGTAAGAGCCTATGGATGCTCTCTGAGGGAGAATTCAGAAGCTTTTATTGTTCTTCAATTTTAATTTTTTAATTTTATGAGTGTTTGCCTGCATGTATGTAAGTGCACCGTGTCATGCAATGCCTATGGAGGCCAGAAGCAAGTGTCAGATCTTCTGGAACTGGGGTTAAGGATGGTTGTTATCCACCATGTGGGTGCTGGGAACTGAACCTGGCTCCTCAGCTAGAGCAGCCAGTGCTCTTAACCACTGAGTTATCTCTCCAGCCACAGAAGCTTTTAGTTGTAGTTTTTCTGTGTAGCAGATATGAACTGGGCCTCACACATTCTGAACCTGGGATTGAATGGGCATCAGGCACATTCATTATTTATAGCACATTGCTCTTGTCCTCTTCTGGTAGCTTCTCTCTCTACTCATCTGGCTTGCCCACAGTGCAGTGTGTCCTCTTCCTTTTAAATCAAAATGGAAGACACTGGTCACTGAACACATCTTTCTAGTTTATGTTCATTCCTCACTACAATTCTAGTCTTCTGTCCTTGTAACTCATCGCATGATTACATGTGTCACATGTGTCTTTTGGTGTCACACTGCCATTTACTTTCACATTGCCCAGTGCTGAACATGTGTGATCAAGTGATTCTGCCTCTGTCCTCTGCCTATGGAGCAACTGTGTTTTTTTAAACCATGCCTGGCTTTTTAATAATGTCAACTCTGTGTATGTGTGTGTGTGTGTGTGTGTGTGTGTGTGTGTGTGTGTAAGTGCACCTGTGTCACACAGTGCCTGCAGAGGACAGAAGGCAGCGTTGGATCCCCTGGAACTGGAGTTATGAATAATTGTTAGCTGCCATGTGGGTGCTGGGATTCAAAACTGTGTCTTCCTCAAGAACAACCAGTGTTCTTAACCACTGAACCATCTCTCTAGCCTTCAACTCTTAAAAAAAATAAAAATTGTAGATTCACATATAAAAACAATATTCTTCACCAAGCGGCAACATTTGCAAAGCTAAAGCAAAACATCAAACTTGGGAAACAGTTCTAGTGCCTTTGATTTATTATCATGTGTAACAGGGATTTTAAAAACTCAGATATTAAGAATTATATTAGCATTATCATATTTTAAATATTTCCAATTAGATTAACTACGTAGCAGGGAAGGGTCCAAACTAGAGGAAAGTAAATGGCTTTTTGGGGAGAAAAGTTATTTTGAGGCTGTTCACTTTGTAATATGTAACCCAGGGATTAGGAGCAGAGATCAATTTACAATGCATAATGATATGTCTTTATTTCATCAACAGAAATGGTGTCTAGACAAAATTCAGTTAACACTAGCAATTCAACTGAGTGAAAATTTTTTGCACAATAGTGTATTTACAAGGAGTAAATGAAGTTTCATGAATTCATAGCAATGCTTTTTTCCCAAAAAGGTAAAAATTCTTAGTTACAGAGAATAAGCATCAACAGCCATTTCATTATCTTTACAATAAAAACCACAAGAAAAACCACAATCACTTAGAAAAAAAATAAGGACAAGCCTAAAAACTAGTACAATAAAATGATGCATTGAATTAAGTTACATTAATCGCATAGAATCTGTGTAAAAAGTATGTAGAAAAACACCTGATGTAACCTGTTACAGTCATTGACCAGTTATGAGAGGTACGGAGGGTTATACAGGTAGATATGTGTGAAACTGTCCGTATTGTTCGACCTGGGGAGGAAGAGAGGAGGGGCTGCGGCCCCTTGCATACACTGAGAAGACCCTGTTTTGAATATGGCCTCTGGAGTTTGTAAGGCATATATTAGAGGTGCACTTGCATCAGACTGGTTCTGGAACAAATTCTCACAGGCCCTCTTGCCTTGAACGGCTCACTGTGTCTAACAAGTACCCGAAGCTCCCAAAAGCATTTACAATCTTCCTGATATTTTGCTAGAAGTGCCAGGTTCTTGTGTCAGAGTGTGAATGGGCATCCCAGCCTTGCCACAGCCAAAATACATTGTTGGGACCTAAGTGGAGGCCACCTCTCTGCCTGCAGACATGCTTTGGTAGATTTAGCATCCATCTGTAGGGGAAACCCATTTTTGTCCAAGTCCCTTCACTCTTTCCTGATGCACACGTCTGGCTATTCCCATGGGAGCGTTTGGCACTGAGAGTGAGTCTACCTGAAATGAGTGGTCTTCATACACTTCCATGAAGGGCCATTGTTTTATCTGAGGTCAATAAACTGAATGAAAAGGAAAGTCGAGTTGTTTATCCATTGCTTGAGAGTAAAATGCATACACCATGCCACAACATTAAACCAAAGCTCTATAAAAGTCAGCCTCTGCAACCAAGTGGGTATTCTTCACAAAACGGCAGCATCATTTTCATATTACAATTAAAATGCACTGAAAATTCACTTGATATAAATATCTCCCAGGGTGGAGTGTAGGAAAATACTATACACTTCCTTTTCTTTGCAAGTAATGTTTTGCACCGTCGGCTGAATAATTTATCTTCAATCTGCCAAAACAAGTCTTTGAATTTACAAATACTATTTGTACACACTATTTATGCACAAATATATCCTATGCTATAGCATCAGCCTGATGCTTGAGTCATGAGATGGCTCGGGCAGTATTATACACTTTGAACACAAAATATCTCCATGCACAGACTTCCTTTATGAATACCGACTCCACACAGGGCATTATGGACTGACTTGCCAGAAATTGAATCTACAACAAAATCCTCAAGTTTGGGAAGAAACACTAACTCATGAGACAATGAACATCTTTATTCTTTTAAAGGAATCTTTTCGTGATGTGTGTGTGTGTGAGTGAGTGAGTGATTTGAGGACAAATCTTGATTCTTGCTCCCTTTTAGATCTGAGATTCCTCTTAAACTGTAAGCAAGAGTGAAGCAGTGTGAAGTCATCTGTAAAAACAGCTCTTAGTTTAAATGGGGCATGATGTGTAGGAATATGCAGCCAACAGACATGAGAAAGCTTATAGGCTTTGACTCATTTTGGAGGATTATGTTATTCCACAGGATGCAGAGCAGCTCCTGGGGCGAGACTTAGCAGTTTCTTAAAAAGATTTATACTTTCAAACCTGTGTTTGATTCTTTTTCTTCTTCTTTAATGGCAACCACAAAATATTAAAACAAGAGAAAAGTTTAGGCTTTGGCCAGTCCTCCATCCAAGTCCTGTGGTTGTTCTTGATCTCCTTTAAGGAGAGTGGCAGTTGGTATACTAGTTACTAGCCTTTTTTTTTTTACTTCCTTGGAAAAGCAATGCAAGGATTACATCCAAAATTATAGTGCATCTTAAAAAGCAGCATACCTTTAGAAAGACAGTCAATAAATTATTTGTACAACATACAAAATAACATTTCCTACTGCAGCATCACCCCTGACGCCTGAGTCACTGTTAGGGAACCTGGAAGAGAAGTAGCAGGATGGCCTAGTAACTTTGCCAACTTAAAAAAAAAAGTTTTTATAACTGCTTTGTTCCAGAATCAGTATGTAATGAAGTTCGAGTTTATTCAAGGCACCCCCAGATAACACAGAGAAACAAACACATACAGCAAAGCACTCACCTGCCCACAGCCTGAGCGACCTGAATGAATGGAGCTGTTTAAGAGACACAGGAGGACTAAGGCTGGTTTGGAGGGAATGAGTCTTATAGTCACTTGCACTGGCCCTGGACCAACAACTAGTCACAGCTCAACCTTTGGGAGACCCAAGCAGGCTGTCATAGTGATCTTCCTAAACAGCCAAAGATTGGAGTGTCCTATATTTTTCTAAGGAAAGACCCCTACGCAACTGAATGTCACCTTAATGTGCAAACACTGTCTCTTCTGTTCTCTCCCTTTCTGTTTTCTAGGAAAGAAATGAGATTGAGGGATCCCAGGGAAAGAGGACAGACTGGGTGTTTGAATTCTACTTGAGGAATTTGGATTCTGGTCTGTAGTGAGTCCTCTGACCCAGCCCAGAAACAATTTAATAAACAATAGTTTAGAACAGTAAGAGTAATTACACAAAGCCAATTGCTGTTCATGGTGGATAATGAATGAAAATATTTGTTTAAAAATACCCAAGAAATAGAATAACTGTGTTTAAAGCAATGTTTTTTTTTTTTTTTCCAAACCAGTTTTCATGGCAGAGATTGGGTACAAGAAGAAGAAAAACTGAGGGAGAGGCTGGTAGGGGGTTGGGTCAGGGCAGAGAGAAATAAAGAGACCCCTCCTCTTTTTAAATAGCTGCCACATAGGTCTGAGCTACCAGCAACAGAAACCCAGAGAAAGGATGAAATGTGGCCAGACTACCAGCTCACAAGAATTGGTATAGTGTCAATCAAGCCAGGAGGTCTGCAATTGGTGCTGACTTGAGCAGAAGACATTCTGTTTCATTTCTTCAAAGAAGAGGAGAGGTCACTTAAAAAGGCAAGAGACACAAAAAACACTGTCTGTTCTTCCATCACAGGTAGCTGTGAGCATCACATGATTCACATTGAATTAAAATTCTAGCTGTCACCAGCTTTCCATGAAAGCAAGCCTTCTGGTGAAGCCCAGAGTTGTTCTCCTGGGCCAAGAACCGCCAACAATGTCATAAAATGGAAGCTCAAACACATAGCTCTATAAAAATCTGTCTCTGACACACATACATACCCCCCACCCCCACCCCCACCCCCACAAGCACGCAAGTGTGTGCACATACAACAAAACCCAGAGGCAGGTTTTAAAAGTGGACCTATTTTAAAAGAAAAACCATTTTTCTTAAATCCTACTGCATGAACTGACAACTTCTGGCATTCATACTTATTTAACATTTAGCATTACTATTTGTACAGAAAAAAGTTAATACTAGAATGTATGTTACTATGATTTCACTTTTTGCCTACTAATCATATACTAATTTCTCCTTTTACATGCAGCTTTAATATTGTCCGAAACAATGGCACAAATAAAGAAACAAAGTCAACCATCTATTCCCCACTGCCCTCCACCCCATCCCCACATCAGACTGTTCTGGACAACCTCATGTACCCAGACTGGAGTGACCCCCAGGCTGCCGAATGAAAGGAGACAGGGATCACTGGGAGGAGGGGGCTGATTCCTCCTTGGGGCACACCTTCCTGTAAACATGGCGTGTGGGGGGAGACCCCAGCGCCAGGGAAGCTGCTCTCTCTGGTTTGCAAACAACTAATTTTAGAGCAAGAGAAGCAAATTATCAACTGGGGAGGGGTGTGTGTGTGTGTGTGTGTGTGTGTGTGTGTGTGTGTGTACATGTGCCCACGCATTTGGGCAGAGAACAGAGGGCTCCTGGAGGTATCTTGTCCAATGCCACAGAAAGAAGCTGCTTTCATAGAGGTGGACAAAAACCTCAGAGCACAACTAAGAGCATTTGAAAGGGAAGAGCATGTGTTAGGCGGTGCTGGTGGTTCTCAGCCTTGAATGTGCCCTGTTCTCTCCTACTTTCAATAAGCCGAATTTACTCAGGGGGGCTGCCGCTTAAAATTGAGGCTCTGAACCAAATTCCCTCAGGTGTTAGATATCCCAGGAGCCCAGGCCTAGGCAGGGAAGCCAGGCAGCTGATTAGCTGCGTCCTTCAAGGAAGCAGGTCCTCCTTCAAGATGCATCCCAAGAACAATGCAAACTGAATCTGGACGAAATGCTGAAATGAATGGGACTCCTCCCTGGGTAAGGAAACTGTTCTCCCTTGATTTTTAAGTAACCAGTGCCTGTGGCATTCTGGCACAAAACCACAGGTTCCTGTTGTTTTGAGGTGCTTATGAGATGTCCAAACTCTCTCCCCACTTAGGAATTTGAACATCCATCGACTCTGAACTCTCTAGCTGCAGTTCAGCTTTACTTAGGGAAAGGTGGGGAGGAAATGAGCTATAAAAATATTCAGATTATTGTCTACACATCCTAGGATGAATTCATTATTTGGCAAGATTGTTTTTCCTACATAATTATCACCTGAGTGCTTTTTAATTAGCTAAAATGTTTTACTTTTTAACTAAAAGCAAAGAATATACAGTATACTTGAGTTATACTGAAGTTACAACTTCATTTAAGAAAATAGGTTTGACCCAAAACTCAGTGCAAGTGGCAAAGTTGACCTTGCTGTACAGTATCTGCAAGGAAAAGGAAAAAAGAACAGAACAAACAAAAGCCCCCCAAAAACAAACACAAAAGTAACAAACCCACAATGCTCACTCAACACCATTTGGTGGTGCCCAAACCAAACCTAACAAAAATAAAAGGTCTGAGATTAAATCTTGGAAAAAAAGCTTCCAACACTGAATTTTGTCCATAAACAGGTACAGATTGAAATTGTGAAGCAAGAGAAATGACCATGTTGACAGTTACCAAACTAGTTTCTGGCATCAGAGACAAAAGAGGAGGAATGTTGCAACCTGTTTGTAAATAAGAAATGAAGTTTCCAGTTTTAGGATGAGAAAATTGAGGCATGCAGGACTTTTGCATATGGATATATATTTCATATATATTATATATAATATGTACAGTCTAGCTATAAAACTTTGATGTGTATAGAAGCTGTCTTCAATGAAAAAAATTGAACATTCAGAAGAAATTCCTGAGATAGGGTTTGTGACATGGGCCACTGAGAAAAAAATCCGTGGTTGGGTCCTAGAGGTGTTGTAGTCTATCCCTGTGAAGTCTGAAATGAACCCGCAGACAGACAGTGTCAGCACTGTTGTCTTTCCTTGCCGGAGCAAGGGGTAGCACCATTGTGAAGGTAACTAGCACTCCTGCTGAAAGAGAGGAGGGAATACTTCGGAACAGTATTGCTGCTAAGACCGCTGTAGTGTGCACCAAATTCGCTCTTGGTTCTTCAAGACAACAGATGAACAGCGCCACGGGCTGACTGAAGAACACCTGGGTGGGAGAGGTGTGAGGATTGGGAGGCAGATCTAAGTCACTAGGTATAATCTTTCCTGGGTTGCTCGTCAGTTGTACACTTATCAGTCATTTCCTGGCAGAAGTCCACTGTCACTGACTGGCTCCTGGGTTCAAGAGGAGGCCCTCTTTCTGAGAAGGGTCCTGAGTCAGTACCTTCCAACCTCCTCCCAGAGGTACAATTCTCAGAGGTGTTGCTGGGCACCCAGGGAGGTCCAGGGGGAGCCGCCCCTGGCTCCAGGCAGCAGGGCACATTTCCCCCTACTGCACACTGAGAGGCTGGGAGGCTCTGCTCAACTCCCAAAGGAGGGGGATTAACACTGGCTCCAGGGAGATCCATGGGTATGAGGACTGGGCAATACCGATGCAGCGCCTGGATCTGCTCTGGGCTCTGGATGTCGCGACAGACCTCCTGTGAGAGGCAGGAGAAGTTGTCCAGAAGCTCTCCCATGCAGGCTTTCAGTTGATTCCTTTCTGACAACAGTTTCTCCTTCTCACACACCTGGACAAATGAGGAAAAATGAGAATGCTTTATTAGGCCTGAACTGGAGGACACAAAACCTCATTTCTGAGGGTTCTCAAACCTTTGTTTCGGTATCTTACATTGTAACCTAACTCATGGATGACTAGTTCAGAATCTAGCCACTTATTTTAGATACATGCGTCCAGGGTGTGAGGACACACACTTCTGCCATGCCTCACAGCCCAGTAGCTGCTGCAGGTGATCACTGACCTGTACCTTTCCCTGATGCCACTCCTTCCTTCAAGGAGGGCCAGGAAGCAGAATCACCACCAACCAGAATGCTGTAGGGAGTCAACAAGACACCTTGCGGTCCTAGAATTGGGGATCTGTAGAGAACTGACTACAAAAATAGCCCCAAACCTAAGAATTGAAAAATCTACCCCTAATGTATTAAGTTACTATTTTTGAGGGGTAAAAGTCAACTAAATTCAACTACTTAACATTCTAAAAAAGACAAAACAATGAACACAGTTTAAAAAAAAAACAACCAGTGATGCTGGGTATGGTGGTGCATGTCTTTAATCCCAGCACTTGGAAGTGCTGTGAGATCAAGGCCAGCCAGGTATACATACACCATCAACGTCACATGGTTTGACGCAACCAGAAGGCTCTCCAACTTTCGCAGTTCAGCACACTGAACATGACAAATCCTTTTAGGACACGGGGGAACCATGCAGTGATCTTGTGCAGGCATTCTCCCTAGGCAAAGGATGAGGAGACAGAAACATGGAGTCTAAGCTCTAATGTACTAGCCCAAGGTTCCAAGATATTTTCCCCCTTAAACAAAATCCCACATATGCTCTTGTGTTACTTAAATTTGTCACCCCTTGAGAGAGATGAGTTTAGCACCAGAGAAGAGACTAATTAAAGTGTTACCATCAATATTTGTATGAGGAGAGGTGATGGGGAGGGTCCATGAGGCACACATGATAAAGCAGCTGAAGAAATGGCCTCTGAAGCAGCACAAGGCCTGTAGCGGCCAGTGTAGCAGGCGAGGATGGGAAGAAAAGTAAAGAGGAGGGAGAGAGGAGCAGGCATCCAACATGCACGGGGAGCAGGTCTCTGACATGGGAGCTGTGTATGGCCTAACGTGAAAGCAATCTGGCAGGCAGCGTGGGTATGTGTGTTAGAGATTTCCAAGAGGAAAGGGCACCTGCTAAAATATTTATAAATCTATCAAGAAAACATGTTTTAAAAATGAAAAATAAACAGATGTACAAGTGCAACTTGAAAGAAATACATTATGTGAATTTGCAAATCAGAGTGGTGAGTGTGTGGGAGACATCATGGGAGTGCGAAAATGAGTACCGGGCCTGTTGGGAACTGTGCAAGTGAGACCAGGCAGGGACAGGTGCTATCCCTGACCACTAGAGCCATCTTCACGACTGACAGCAGAAAAGTGGGCCCAGCAATCTGGCCCTGTCTCCACTGAACCTGGAGGGCTGCCGTGAGGGCTAGCACTCCAACCACCAAGAGAGGAGACTCAGGCTCAGTTCTATTGCAATCCCTTGGTCTAGACACTAGCCCCCGTGGGCCTAACTCATCTAAAAAGTGTTCCTGGCCACCTTCTAAGGGAGGAAAGGTCATGTCTTGGTTAAAAACTTGAAGCTCTGGGCCCAGCATGGTGGTGCATGCTGTAATTCCAGCACTTGGGAGGCAGAGGCAAGAGGATTGTGTTTGAAGCCAGGCTGGTCTATGTAGCAAGACCTTATCTTAAGAACTCAAAAACCCAAACCAAGTCAAACCAAAGAGTCTCTGTGGAGCTCTAAGTCACAGACACACACTGATGAATGTGGATGCTCTTGCTTGGCCCTAAGACACAGCATACTATTTAAGGGTTGTACAATGTTGATGGAGAACTAGGGGCACCATCTTGCTTTTTCAGCTGAACAATATCAGCAAAGTGTTTTAGATATTTGCCTGGTATACCTCTTAGGTTTTTCCTGTTTGTTTAGAAACATACAATTAATTGCATGGGCCAGAATGCTAGTTGTTAAAATCAGGCATATTGGGTAGAAAGTTAGTCTACGACCTCAAGAGGAATGCAGAGCAAGAATCACATCGACACATCTCTAAGACTCACACCTGGCAGGCTTGGCAACTTCAGCCCACAGGCCTTCAGAGACCCACATCCACCAGCAGGATTGCCCTGCTTCCTCAAGTGGCCTAAATTAGTGTGTTGTTGATAAAACAGGATTCGGGCTGGAGATGGAGCTCAGTGTAGATGCTTGCTCAGTATGTGTGAGGCTCTGGGTTTGCTCCCCAGCACTGCAAAAGCAAAGAAACGAAAGAACCACCACCACCAAACCTAAGCAAGCAAACAAAAAACACCAAGGAAAATTTTAGAATCAAGAATTGATGATCTAACTTACCAGAGTTTCTGGTAAGTTTTAGGACACTAGGCATTTCCCGAAAGCCAACAGTGGTCTGACAATGGAGGTGGGAGGTTATTAAGACACTGGTCTTCTTCACCCTTGTCCAACCATTAGTCTAGAGCTGGGGGCCCAAGACACAGACACGTAGAAAATCCAAGACTGAGCAAGAAGCACTAAGCTGGAGGTTAGATTAGGGTTCCCAGGCCAAGCCCCAGTTTAACTGGGGATTCTGAAAATGCAGGCTTTCTAAAGAGGGTAACTTGTCCTGATTCTTAAAGCACAAAGGAAAGAGTGTGAGAAGGAAAAGTAGAGGCATAGACAAGTCAGAGGGCAAACAGCATAGGCAAAGTGCAGAAATTTAAAATAGCAGGACAGGACGTAGTATAGTTAAATCCTACATGATCCTGGACCCCTGCCTATAGAATGAATTGTGGAGGGCAGGGTATGTCTTAAACAATGTTTTTTTGAGAAGCTGATATAGTAGTACATATTTCTGGGATACGACATGCATATGATGTGTGAGGATCAGATCAGGCTAATTATCATTCTACTCTCAGCCACTTATCATCTTATTGTGCTGGGAAGGTTCAGGTTCCTCTCAGAGTTCTTTATTGCATTTATAATAAATTGTTGTGAACTATAGTGAACCTGCTGTGTTGTAAAACGTTGGAATTTGCGCCTATCTATATTTTGGTGCCTGTTATCCAACTTCCCATGGGATAGTCCTTTGTCAAGAAGCCTAGGTTTTACTTTGTAGGTGATGGGAGCTATTGAACATGCAAAGACTTTTCCTGTTTTGGTCAGGCACGTAGCACACACCTTTAATCCTGGCACTTTGGAGGCAGAGGCAGGTGGATGTCTGTGAGTTCAAGGCCAGCCTGGTCTACATAGTTAGTTCCAGGCCATCTGGGGCTACAGGGAGACCGTCTCAAAAAGACCAAAAAACCCCTCAAAAACAAAACAAAAAAAACCCCAAAACAAAAAAAACCCCACTTGTATACTTCTATGTTTTCGATATCTCATCCTCACTCTTAGCATTTGGTCAGCAGAAAGTTCGAACTGAGTGAGGTCAAGTTGTTTCAAAACTACTGTCAGGAGGCAAAGTCTACCTTAATTTATTTCCTGTAGCTTTAAGTTGCTTACTAAGAAGGAGGCATAGAGGCACTATCTCTGACAGTGGAGGAACTTGGGGAGGTGAGGACTTGGTTCCTGAGACAAAACAGTCTTGGGCACTGGGCAGAGATGGCAACTACTTTAAGGCATAATTGAAAACCAAGGCCCCTGGGGCTATTAAGAATGCCAGGAGATAATCTCACTGGGTGATTGTCCCCTGTCAGTAAGTGTCCTATCTCTGCTCTATACTTTTCTGCTAGGAGGCGGGGGAGAGCTGTGGTAAAACACCATTTGAAATCAGACACCTGGGTTTACATTCAACCTCTGCTACATCCAGGGTAGTTATTTCTCTGCATCACAGTTTCCTCTTCTGCAAAGGGGAATGAAATAATACCGAAGTCAAAGGTTAAATGTGATCATCCATAAAAATTATTTAGAAGAACACCTGGCTCATAGATGCATGTGATAGACATCAGGTGTTATGACATACAAATAGAAAATAAAAAGGAGATAATTCCATATGAAACTTGAAGGATATGGCACATCACACATTTCAGGTGCAAATCTCTTACTTCTGTTGAGAATAAACTCAAACTTCCCTGAAGAATGACTCTTCCCTCTACTTCTCTATCTATAACTGATGCAACTTTACTTTGGTCTTGGTCACTTCAGGTTGCTGAGCAACTGTTGGGTCAACTCACCAATTTTCGTATTTCACATTCTAAATTCTGAATACAATCCAGCTTCCTCTTGCGGCAGCGCTGAGCAGCAATGCGGTTCTTACTGCGCCGACGGACGTCATGAATGAACTCTAACTGTTCTGAGGTTAGTTTGTGCATCTTAATCATCATCTGGAAGTCGTTCCTGGGAAGATCTGTGATCTGATCTACAGGGAAAGGAAGTTTGACCTGAAACCAAGAATAACAGAATGGAGTTAGGTAGCTGGAGTGAGATTCTGACAGGTAGAGCTAAAAGATGGTAAAACCTTTTAAAGATGACTACATAACACGGAAACTACTGAAAGCAAATAGTGATTAATTCTTTCTTGTTTCAAATACAAGATGAGATATTTGTATAATCAAACAGTAAGAACACATAAACTAACCTCAGGTGTGTGGTGTGTGACTGTAATCACAGCACTCGGAAGGCTTAATTAGAACTGCTATGAGTTTGAGCCCAACATGGGTTCCATGGTAAGTTTAAGGCCAGTCTGGGCTATATATTGAAATCTTATCTCAAACACAAACAAACAAGCAAACACCAAGAAAACAAAATGCACAAAAAAGCACAAACAAATTATAATGTGGTTATCATTCCTGAGATTTTTTTTGAAGCAAATGGCACTGAACATATTGGAAAATGTGTTACTTTTTCATTGTTGCTGTACTTTTGCAAGCACTCTATAGTTAGTTGAAACCTTACCCTTTTCCACAGACATACAACTTAACTCAGTAAAATGGCCATTTATAGATATCATCTGAGGACTGATTTGAACAGATAGAGTCCTGCACACCTTGGGATCAGTCCTGGTTCTGTTTATGAAGCTCCTGGGAATCCTTAATCTAAGTAATTTCAGCCTTGGGAGGAGGTGGAGGCAGGAGGATCATGAATTCAAGGCCTTTCTTTTAAAAAATATTTTATTATTTTTATGTATATGTGTATATTGCCTGCATGTAGATAAGTGCACCCGTGTCGTGCAATGCCTGCAGAGGACAGAGGAGGCTGTCGGATCCTCTGGAACTGGAATTACGGACAGCTGTTAGCTGCCATGTGGGTTCTGGGATTCGAACCCGGGTCTTCTGCAAGAACAACCAGTGTTCTTAACCACTGCGCCATCTCTCCAGCGCCCCCCCCCCCCCCCGCCTCCAAGGCCTTTCTTGACTACATATGGAGTTAGAGGCCAACCTGGCCTACACCCAGTTCAGATTGTTTCATTTTCCCTCACAATCAAGTTTGCTTTAGATGGGCCAGCAGATGGCACTATAACCCTAAACTTCATGTACAAGACCGACACTGTCTATAATACAACCGTCAGGCAGGTATGTGACTTAAACTTTACCAGTAGCCATATTAAAGAAGTAAAAAAATAAAGGTGAACTGAATTAAAAAAACACACTATCACAATATAAAAATATTTCTAGCCAGGCGTGGTGGCGCACGCCTTTAATCCCAGCACTTGGGAGGTAGAGGCAGGTGGATCTCTGTGAGTTCAAGGCCAGCCTGGTCTACATAGTGAATTCCAGGAGAGCTGGGGCTACAGGGAGACCCTGTCTCAAAAAGACCAAAAAAATTTCTAACATGCAATTTACATAAAAGTTAATAATGGAGTATTTAACATTTTTGTGCTAAATTTTAAATATCCAAAGTACATTTTATTTTACATTTAGAGGCTCACTAGCCATGTGCAGGGTGTGGCTACTAGTCTGGATAGAACTCTAGAGGACTCAGTTGGAGTCACCAGGAAAAGCAATATGGGCCTGGGTTTAACTGATCAAAACATTTCGGTGCGCAAACTAACCTCTCACCAGTGTTCCGATGCTGGAGTGCTGAGGCTGGTTTTCAAAGGGGCTGAGGATGCAGTCAGTCTGTCTAGATACTGGCAGACATGAGGCCTGATCCTGGCACTTGTGCTCAGCTGATCCCCATGCACAAAGGCAAGCACACTAAAGGATCATTCACCTTTCCTGTGGTTGGGTGCAATGTTTTTTGGTTGGGTTACTTCCTAGCTGTGAGCTTGCTCCACGTGGCATTTGTTAAAGGCTCTCAAAGGATGTTATGATTTGAATTCCACATGGTAAACACTATCCCATGACACCAAAACTTTGGCCCCAAACAGAAAAATGGTAGCGCTCTGGGCTCAACACTGCTCTGAGTGCTAAGGATGGGCAGCCAGGACAGATGGCTCCTTGTCAGGGCTCGGAAAAGCCTTTGTCTGTGGGGCTGTGTTTGCACAAGGTTTATAAGGATAGGGAAGAATGTTTGATTTCCCTTTTATAACCTTTGGATAACAAACAGATCCTGGATGGTGCCTCAATAGCACAGAGGTCATCTGCTGGAAACACGATGTTTCGACATCATAAAGGTCCTGGTGCTCTGGGCTCATGGAGTCCCTACCTCTGCTGACAGCAGAGCCATTCTGCTTCTGCCCCAAACTGTATTTATTTATTTTCAGAAAGAAAATATACCGACAGTGTAGACCACAGGGAAAGTCAAAAGGGCTTCCATACTGAGAGCTACTGTATTTAAAATGTTCTAGACAGCAAACACAAAACACAATGTAGATAGGACAGAGGGTTGGCAGGAGAAGGGAAAATCAACAACGCTAGTTTCAAAGTCCTTGAAGCAAAAGCAAAACCCATATGAAATTTCAGCAGGGCTGTTGCAATAAAGCTGCTTTTTGAAGAGGGTCAATGGAAAAGAAAACAGTAACCACAGACTTTCTTCCATGTCAGGGGAGGGGGAAGAATCACTCATTCTCGTGTCTTTGTAAAGATCTACTAGTCCTACAGTAAGGAAGAACTTACATTGAGTAGCAGGCAGGACCCAGTCCCTGAGGGGCACACAGGGAACCTTACAGAGGGAAGGTGGTCGGTCCAAGCCAATGGGCATCCCTGGAGATGAGGGAATATTCTCCTTACAAGCTCTTGGGTACCCAAACAGTCTCCATTTGGGGCTGAAAGCAAGGTAATGTGACTGGGCCTTAGTCACTGGTTTTCTTTTTTAACTCACTGGATCCTCGTAGACAGCATAGAACAGACAACCGGCAGGATGAAGCATCCTGATGCCTCTCACCACCACCTGTCTGAGTGGCCTGCAGTTATATTCAGCTTATCACACACCCCTCAGGACACGGAGGATACACGGGAGAAGTGCCGGTGGGATTTGTGGGTGCTGATTGTCTTTAGCCATTAGCCACTTCAGTTTTCAAAGACTCAGGAGTAGCTACTGAGTCAGCAGGCCAAGGGTCAAAGAGGGCAGCACAGGCCACTGCTGTGGTTTGCACAATAATCCACTAAAGTGCTGACCCTTCTCTAGCCTCTGAAACTCAAAGGAAGAGCAGGATTAGAAGTCATTTTTCAGCATCCCCCAAACAATGCTCAGAGGAAGATTAGACCTTCTGGGAGCTGCAGCTATTTAGTGGTCAGTGACATAGGTAACCACCTGCAGTTTGAACAGGGACCTCTAGTCTCAGGATGACAGAGGGCAGAGGAGCTTCTGAATGGTGTATGAAACCTAAATGTACTTCCTCAGCCCATCTGCATGGCCAGACAGAAGGCCTGGACTCAGTTGGCTGGCAGGGCTGCAGGCAGACCTGAGATGCAGTGCTTCCTTCTCACCAAACAGAAAACAGCTTGCTAATAATTGCTCACATCCTGGAGCCTAAACTATCATCCTCTCCCTTTCCATTAAAAATTTAATTAAAAGTATGACTTCTCATAGAAAATTCAAATATGAGACAAAATAGGGAAAAGGTCCTATTCTGAAATGATGCTTCAGTCACTGATAGGTTTCCCTGCAACTTCTCCTCTGCACGTATTTCATGGACTTGTGAATGTGGTACTATACCCATCTCAGCTCACTAAGATTCTGAACACACATTTTATTTGCCTGGTGCTTCTGGTTTGTTAGTGGAGGTTACTGGAAAAGGAGGATGGAGATACAGATTTTGTAGAGAGAGTCAAAAATAAGCATCTGTTTTCTATACACATGCCAGTAGAAGAGTGGTTTGTGAACACTTTCCTATCTCCTTTCTTGGTTTTAATAGCAGATGTGAGTGGAAGTCATGGACACACAGGACCACACTGACAGGATTACCCTGGAGGCTGTGATTAGTGTATTGGCTGTCCAAGACCTAGAAATGTTTCCTGTACCATTGCTCTTCTAGTTTTTAATACCAAGGTCCCATTGTGGCATAAATGTAGGGTACTCGGGATTGGCTACTAAAAAAGTATTAGCTATGTGATGTGAGGCAATGTGGCCTACATACTGGCCTATGTTCTCTCTGTCCTAGAACTCTTTGAGTGTCTGTGAGTCAGACAAAGATAATACTTGCCCATTTAGGTTATAGGCTTGCTATGAAGGATGAAACTGGATAATGGGCAGAGAAAGTGTTTTGAAAAGTTTGAATGGCCTTGTGGGTAAGCCCTATCTTTTTTTGTCAAACAGCTTCCTCTTCTAGGCATGTAGCATTTGGAATTCCAAACAGTGAGAATATTCTAGACAACATGAGAATACTGTTTTAATTATGAATATGGCTGACTTCAATGCTGCCCTTCAAGGTCTTTTTATTAAGCAGCCCAATTACAGACACTTGTAAAAACATACTGATTCACCAAACCACAAAAATGATTGTAAAAATTTTACACAAAAAGTATCAAAGTCATTTGGGAAGGAGTTCAGTGGGAGTGGGGGGGATGAGAGAGGGGAACTCGAGGTGAAAATGACCAAAATGCATTACATACACATATGAATTGTGAAAGAATGATAAAAAATGGTTTAAAAAGTATTCGAGCAGGGCATGGTGAAGCACGCCTTTAGTCCCAACACTTAGGAGGCAGAGGGAGGTGGATCTCTGTGAAATGGAGGCTAGCCTGGTCTACATTGAAAGTTCCAGCCCAGCTGGGGCTACAGGGAGACCCTGTCTCAAAAAACAAAACAAAACCAAAAGTATCAGAAAAAGAAAAAAAAAAGAAAAGAAAAACAACGCCAGCACTTCGTGAGAACAGTAGTCAGGCGCAGCTCTCCTGTAGCACTTCAGGGCTGCTCTGGGCTTTATTTCTGTTATTCTGTCTGCCCATCTCTCTTCCCTCCCTCCTCTCCCCCCATTTTTTCATCTGTTTAACATAGGCCTATGTAGCTCAGGCTAGCCTGGAACTCACTACGTAGGCCAGGTTTGTTTTGAACTTGT